TTTATTAACCATCCAAGTATCACAAACAGGAGGAATTCCCTTATCCCACAACCTCTTTGCCTACCCTCTACAGTAGGTGGTTCACTGATAGACAGACTAATCACTAATCACCTGGAACATTGTGCCTTAAAACTCACAGTTACTGTTTCCACGGGAGATTAAGGCTTCATTCCTACCAGACCCACAGTGTACTCCCGTTCCGTTCGCAATGCACTTCCAAGAGCCAAGCAAATCATTATTTACCTTCGCAATCTCTCACCCAGAAACACTCTTCTTCTTAAGCATTTCAGTAATGTCGTTTATTCGTGGTTTTCCTCTCTGAATACTGCTGTCAACTTATTCACCAAAACAGTAAACCACATTTTTAACCTATGCTACCCTTTTGAAACTCTGTTTGTAACTGCTGGATAGCATCTCCACTGCGGAACTCATTCAGACACAGAAGGAACGGTCAGATAAATCGAGAGACTCAACTTTTAATATGATTAAAACTGAAGTCAGATACCTGTGACGTATGAATACCGACTCCTTCCTTGTAATAATAGCAAACCAGTTTGGCAAAGTATCAAATTTCTGTGGGGCCAAAGCCAAAACTCTGGACTGTACGACGCATTGGGGCAGTTCCAACGCAGCAGTGATACATGCATCAAATTATGCATCGCACCATTCTCTCTGGATGAATGTCGCTTAAGTAGAGGCGGTTTCGAAAGAAGAAACTTTTGAGCTTTTGTGTACCGTGAAAATCTAGTTCAGTTTTGGTCCTGATAGTCTTTTATCTCCCGTTTTGAGATATAGAGCTTATTCTCTTAGTGATGTATCAGCATCATTTTAGAGATGATGGATGCAATATCACGACCTGCGGCAGCTATCCGATCTCTAATTTTCCCGTGCTTCTCGGTCACCCGGTTTGATTCGAGAAGAACAACCGTGTAGTGGTTTGAGACCAACAGTGTAACATGCTCGAGAGTGTCACCATCTTCGGTCTGCCTGTTCCGCATGCATGCTTTCACATGATTGCAGGCATTGGTTGCTTGGAGCATTTGCTCGTGCATCCTTCTCCTTTGTAGCATAGAATCCGCCAGGATCTTTGATATCCTGAGACCACTCCTTCAGCTAAGTCTTTTATCTTTGTTTAAGTCTCTACCACCTCCGGTGAAGTACTCCTCACTTTAAACGGTGCGTGAGTTCAGAGCTACACCTTTCGCTTGCTAAGCATTTCCGCTTTCAGACACGCTCGAGCATAATCAGGCTAAACTCCGGTGCTTCCAGGGAACAATATATTTTCCCTCGACTAACCAGTGGTTCTTCCTGATTCATACTGGGTGATCGAGAAACACGGGATATTTAGAGATCGGATCGTCATTGCGCATCTTGATATCGCTCGCCACCCATCTCTAAAACCGGCTAATCAAGGGAAAGTTTATTGTTCCCTGAAAGTACTGGAGTTTAGCCTGATTACGCTCGAGAGTATCTGAAATCGAAAATTCTTGCAAGCGAAGGTGTAGCACTGAAATCACGCACCATTTAAAGTAAAGTCACTTCACCGGGGATGGCAGTGACTTAAACAAAGATAAAAGACCTAGCTGAAGAAGCGGTCTCAAGATATCGAAGATCCTGGCGGAATCTATCTACAAAGGCGAAGGATGCACGAGCGAATGCTCCAAGCAACAAATGCCTACGACCATGCGGAAGCATACATGAGGAACAGGCAGACCAAAGGTAGTGACAACTCTTGAGCATGTTACACTGTCTGTCTCAGTCTACTGCATCTTTTTTAAACACTTCCTTAAACACTTGCGTCATAACAGACTGTCGTAAACTGGTAATAATGGTTTCCATTTTTAATTCCTCTAATTCAGCTGTTCTAGCCAAACAGTTTCGTCCTATCACTCTGACTTATATTGGTCTTAAACTAGCAGAATGCCCAAAGGCTTAAGTAGTTGTGCAAAAACACCCTCGAATTGAGAACCTCGATCGGTTGTAACTGCTGCAGGACAACTGAAGCTAGCTATCTAACAGTTTAAGAAGGCTTGTGCCGCTGCTTTGCTGGATGCGGAAGACAAAGGATTAGCTACCGGCCACCGGGTGAAACGATCTATACAGGTGAGTATATAGATACACCCTTTTGATGGCCGCAGGGGTTCCACTAAGTCTACGTGGACGTGGTGGAAACGCTCGTCAACGACGGGAAACGAACCTAGTGGGCTCTTTGTGTGACGAATAATTTTGTTACTTTGGCAGGACAAGCACTGGCGTGTCCATTGGCGGATGTACTTTTTGATTTTATGCCACACGAAACGGTCAGTGATGAGTTTCACTGAGGCGCGGATGCTTGGATGTGACAAATTATGCAGTGTCTCAAAAACCATTTTGCGTAAGGTTCATGGGACTATCGGCCTAGGGTGGCCTATGGAGACGTCGCAATAGACTTTGTTGTCTGAGGACGGGAGTGGCAAGTGTTCGATACGGGGCGTTGACTGCTTGTGCAGTCGTTCGATTTCGGTGTCGCCGATTTGCGCTGTGGCTATGCCCTATAAGCATATGGCTGGCTGGATGGATGGATGGTGATGGATGTTTAGTGGCTAGACAGTTACTGATGTTTGTCAGAACCTGTCACTAATGTTTGCTCACGTTCGTTCTGGATATCCATCGCAAGAAGAAACAGAACTAGAGATTGGGTTTGTATAAATGATATATTCTGAAACTTCCGAAACGTTGGAAGTAAGTTTGGCTAGGCTTAAGTTGTTATTTAAGCAACGCCAGTGGAAACCTGGTAGTAGATCTGATCAATGCAACAAAAGCGTGCGATACAGAGCTCACCGTGGGGAATTGTGCTGGTGCGATCTTTTCGAGCTCATTAAAAGAACGATAATAGTTGAAGCAAAACTTAATTATTGAAGTATCCAAGTTGCTATATCTAGTGAAGAAACGTTCTCTAGAAGATCGATTTCACCAAATAATGGCGATAAATGCTAAATCTCGACGGTACACTTGATCGTGCCCGGTATCGAAAAGGGTCCTTACATTAGAAGGAAAAGATTAACGGTAGTCCAGCTTTTCTAATTAATCAACCTGATCGATAGGCTAAGTCAAAACTTGATATCTGAGCCCTGATGGTTCTGATGAGTATGTCATGGTTTTTTAACCATGTCCTGGCAGTCCTCAGTTATACAGGACTTGTTGGAAGCTGAACCTGTCCTGATGTCAGCCACCCTGATAGGGTGAGGGTGCTACTGGTCCGTGATTTGATGCTCACGTCTAGCTTTAATGGATCTACCAGGAAACTTAGAGAAAACTGCCGTTACGAGACTGTTCGTTGAAAAACGGTTACAGATGTATGAGAGAGTATCCGTGACAGGATTGTTGACACCAGAGGTATATGACACATCGCACGTGTATTGTGTGATGTAATCAAGGTGTCATGGCTCTCGTAGAGAGTCTCTGTTGGTGGTAGACTTAGTGGTCTGAGTAATAAGACGGTGATCGGTGAAGACCATGAAGACTCGTCCTTCGAGGAAATAGCGGAATTCGCGGATATCGAAGTAGATCGCCGTGAGTTCCTGGTCGAAGGTGCTGTATCTTGACTCGGCCGGTTGGAGCTTCTTCGAGGAAATAACTATGGGTTGCCATTCCTGTCTCACTTGTTGTTGGAGGACGGTGCCAACTGCGTGGTCGGACGCAACAATGACGAGTGTTAGTTCAGCGGAGGGGTCTAGGTGGGTTGATGTTGCAATGTTACTGATTGCTCGTTTCAACGCATTTGAGGCGCCTCGAGTGGCTTGTATGAACACAAACGTTTTGACTTTACCCCTAAATAAATCAGCGAGTGGCTGCCTAAGCTGTGCACACTGAGGGACGAAACGACGATAAAAGTTGACAACCATCGAAAAGTCAGAGCTGCTTGAACATGGTGGGCTTCTGGTAGTTTAATACTGCCTGAAATTTGTCACTTAGTGACTCAATACCTGTGTCTGTGATGCGGTGACCGAGGAAATCAATGTTTGAGGCACCGAAGACATTTTTGTGCGCTGTGCTGTGCCAAACGATCAACATGTGCTCGAAGGTGAGCCAGATATTCCTCGCGCGTTGAGCCAACCACTAGAATATCGTCTAAGTAAACCAAAAAACAGGGTCTAAACTTCTATAAACATTGTCAATAAAACGTTGGAAGGACTGTAAGGCGTTACCTAAACCGAATGGCATTTAGAGTAATTCGAAAAGACCAAACGGTATGACTACGGCCGCTTGGGGGGATGTGAGCCTCTGCTACCGGTATCTGGTTGTATGGGCGAACCAGATCGATGCGGCTGAAAACAGTTCTGCCGGTTAGGTGTGACATGAAATCCGTGATGTGGGGGATCGGGTACCTATCCGGGGTTGCCACGCGGTTGACTGAGCGATAGTCTCCATATGGAAACCAGTCGTTGGACGCGTTTTGGGGACCATGTGACCGGGTCTCTTATTTTTCGCTTGTGGGGGTCTACGATTAGTCCGTGGTGTTGTAAGAATGTAGTAATCGGAATAGTATTGAATTTAGGAATACGAGAATCCGGACTGTACTGCTCAGAACTGAAGTGGCTCCAACCCGAACTGCGGACATCAATAAAATACACCAGGAATTGATAGCAGCAAATTCTCATGTTTATTGATAGAATTAGAGCATGCTTTAGAGAAGGTAATAGCTCAAATGATTGGTTGAAGGGCCGTCGTCCAATTACGTAACCGTTTGAGCCGACGCATCATATGTACTAACTCGGATGTCACATTCGCCCAGTGTACCATTGGTCGAACTTCCTGAACGGTAATTGGATGACATGAAACTGTACCTAGTCGTGCATGGATTACGGTCACGGAAGTCTGGATCACTACAACTCTCTTCCCCCAAGAGTGCCTCATCAATCTGGCTCGCCTGACGGCTAGACCTGCGGACTGCAATCGTTGGCTCCGCCTGTTCCTGGCGGTGTCCTTGTGTTTCGATTGGTTGTTTCTGCAAATCCGACTCATGCGGCTCCGTCGGTTGTGCTGATGGGGTATGCAACTGACTGTCGCCCTCGCTTCTCTTTTTGCCGCTGGTCCTTGGATGATTTGAAGTGGATTCGGTCCACGTGTCGCTTGTGCACAGTAGCACCATTCAAGTCGGTAATTTCCATCATGGCTCGACCCAGTTGTCGTGTGACTATACCAGATGCGGGTCGCAAATCGTTACCACGGAAGTATACGACGTCACTGGAGTCGAGGCACTGTAGGGAGGATCGCAGGCGTCTGGATTTAAAAAGCATTGCCGGGCTCTCCTTGGTAGTTGTACCTTTCTGACAGCTGGAATCAAATTGAGCCAGTTGAACCAGGTTGGTACTTGCGCTGTCTTCCGAAAGGGATTCTGCAAGTTCGAGTGAGTTAAATGACCACCTTCTCAGTNCTCAGTTTAAAACTACCTCTTACAATAGTTCGGTTATTTCCTTCGCAAAACGTAAGGCTTCATCACATGTCGTAAACGATGCAAGACAGTTATCAACGTAGACGTTTTCTTCTGTGGCTTTTGGCACGCCCATAACCACCACCGAATTTTCTTGCAGTCCTGTTCAGGGCAAAATTAGCACAAAACGGTGAAGAAGTTGAGCTGTCATTTGATATTCCTCCGGATGCTTGAGTGGGTCACCCTGTGGCCACCAGAGAAATCACAATGCGCCTCTATCATGTTTCGGCACCTTCACTTGCATAAACATCTCTTCCATGTCAGCTGTAACAGCCACACGTTCCTTACGGAATCGCGAAAGTATACCCACTAAATTCGCGGTGGTGTCTGGACCTTGATAGAGCATGTCATTCAACGATTGCCCCTTGTGTTTTGCCGCACAATCCAAAACTATACGCAGCTTTTCCGGCTTTTTTTGGGTTTATTACCGCATGATGAGTCAGGTACCAACGCGTATGAAAGTCGCATTGTAACTGTTCCCCTGGGACTGGCACGGCATATTCCTTCTCTATAGTCATCTTCATCGTTTGTGCGTAGCGGAACCGTAGCGACTCGTCATTAATTAAGCGCCGCTTCAGGCTGTTCAACCTCGAGAGTGCTGACGCATAGTTTCCCATACCGGTATTGACACCCTTCTTACATGGTAGAGGAACCACGAAGTGCCCACCTAATAGCGTCCGAACTGCATAAGGATTCTTTGGACCACCGAGCCTTTGATCGAGTACCCAATGCGCCTCCGACATATCGCACCCAATCAATATCAGAACTTCTCCATCAAAGTATTCTACTGGAAGGTCTGCCGAATGGGGCCATTTTTTCATCCTTTCAGAGATGTCTCTAACCGGTTTATGAACGGGTAATTCTTTTATAACAACAGCTTGCTCTATAAATACTGATTCTGCTTCATTTAGAGGCAGTACCTGAAAAGCACTGCTGACACAGTTTGCCTCCGCTGGTCCACTCATTGTGGTTATTTTTGAATGGTTTCTTTGTTGGTTTAACCCCAACTGAAGTAGTGCGCTCGCTTTAATAAGCGTCGTATCCGATCCATTATCTAGCGGGGCATACCCGACAATCTCTTTTAATCCAATTCTTACCTTGACCGGTAATAATCCCAGGCTCACATTATTGGCCCGAAGTCTAGTTGCTCCGCAATGGCCCTCACCGATTGGTTCATGCTGCCTGCTTAGGACTTTCTTATAATAGGTGTATATTTCACGGAGACCCGTGAAGCATGCATAGGCATGATCAAATGTACAAAATAATCATCCATATGTGGGAAGCCGATTAGGAAGACTTTGAAGGTCGCATTGAGCATAAATACAAATGGAACACAAAGTGGACAAGGTGTCAGAGAAAATGGTTCGAGATGGCGGAATGCTCCAAAAGAACAAGTCGGTGAAAGTAGGACAAAGAACAAGAATCGATATACCGGATGAATGATAATTGGAAATACGACAATCAGTGAGTAAAATAACAAGAGGCTGCCTGCAGATCGTTAGACGGGAATGGACAGAAGTGGGGGTCACCCAGAGTGTGCATGATAGGAAAGCAGCCCAGTCATTGGAAATTTTATTGCATCTTGCTTCTGGTTTTTCAGTTATACTCCGAATAAATTCATCACTGGATATCGTGCCAATCTGACGGAAGACGCCATTTTTTCTTACAGCAGCAGATCTCTGGAAAAGAAGACAGAAACGCAAAACAGTCTAGGTTTTAACCTAGCTGATGAGGGATTGGGAGAGAATGAAGTATGTAAGTTATCGTGCAATTTAATCTTAGAAGTTCCGGACAGTCAAGTAGACGACTACTAACTGGTATCTATAAAAGAGTCACCGAATATTGCCACTAGATACACTATGCAGTGGCAACAAAGGCGAACTGAATAAATCCGATTTCTCACTACGGCATAGAAACAGATTGGGCCTGTAAAATACGTATTCACCAGAAGAATATTCATTCCACTGATCAGCCATGTAGGTTGACCAGTGTACTGAATCTAGAATCTAAAGGTGAGCACTGCTGCCTTGTCAACATGTGCTACCGGAGTGGGTGGGATAAAAAGAGATGCGAACACATCAAAGAGCTGAAATTTTCAGAATTATGGGTGACAAGCCTAGTGTACGTTTTCACCAGACGAATATCGGGGCATACCCGACAATCTCTTTTAATCCAGCTCTTACCTTGACCGGTAATAATCCCAGGCTCACATTATTGGCCCGAAGTCTAGTTGCTCCGCAATGGCCCTCACCGATTGGTTCATGCTGCGTGCTCAGAACTTTCTTATAATAGGTGTATATTTCACGGAGACCCGTGAAGCATGCATAGGCATGATCAAATGTACAAAATAATCATCCATATGTGGGAAGCCGATTAGGAAGACTTTGAAGGTCGCATTGAGCATAAATACAAATGGAACACAAAGTGGACAAGGTGTCAGAGAAAATGGTTCGAGAT